AATGCAGGCTGACAATGAGCCTTCATTTTCTCTCTTCTTTGTAATCACAGCTTAGTGTACAAAGTACAAAGGATGTATCATTGTAACCCTTTAAGCTAACCTGAGTCCTCTCCCTACCGTCTCCTCTAGCAAATACAAGGGGCCCTCATTTTTGGCTCACGTGTCCCCATCACAGATGCTGATTTTGTCACATTATCACACACGGACACACAGAGGGAGTACAAGGAGAACACACTACACACACTGCACATAATAGCAATCTTGTAATTTTCTCGCAGGCGTTGTTGTGAAGTGGTGCCCGATGTGCATCCTGTCGGCCCCGCTGCATTATCAGAGCTTAGGAAATGACAGGGCTATTTATAGGAGCTATTTATCCACTTATCCTGTTGTTGCCATTGTCCACGGGTGTAAGTGGTCACCCTGGTTAGAGCTGTTAGAACTGTGTCATCTTGTACAGTAGGATGTTTGCTTGAGTGGAACATGAGCCAGTGGATTTAGCTGTGCAGAGTTGTGTATTGTGAGATTTCATAAATCAGAAGGTTAAGATAATGAGAATGTCAAATGTCCTACACAGTTTCTATGACGATGAAAGTTCAGAGGAGAGAGATTTGAAAGATATTCCTGTGGTCAGTTTCAGAGATTAAAATGAAAGATATTCTGCCCAAAAATGACACCAAATATGTGTTAGTCCTTAGCTGCCGAAGAATGTCACAAGAGAATACAAATAATGAAATAGAAGAATGAAAAAATAACAAGAATATGTGCAGTATTTCTAAGGCTAATACTGGTGATGATATATTAGAGTTTACATACCTGAAACCGCTGAACAATTAAGTTTCCATTGCTGGTTAGTACACCACAGTACTGGTGGACAAATCATTAAACACCTGAATACTCAATACCTCAACTATTTGGTATTTTTGGCTTTTCTTTATGGCAGTTTTTACCTGGTACTTTTTGTCTGCGGTATTGCTCAAGTAACATTATATTGGCCAATATATTGTTTTTAGTTCCTTTTTTATTACATTCATATTATTGGATGTGTTTTGTGTCTATTACCAGGTTCACAGGAGGGATATGACTGGAAATTACATCCCATAAAAGTTCCAAGCCCAGATTCAAACCAGGTTCTAGATTCTTTTTTTTTTTAGCTATGAAAAAGAGCCCCGAGCTCAGCATCACAGTGTTGATACAGAGAATTGAAGGAAATCATTTCCTAAGTTGCAAATGATTTTTCTCTCAGTTGACTAATATGTGCTTCATCTTATTGTTTCTGTCATGATGTGGTCTGACCTTAACCACCAGGGTGCTCTGATTTATCGTTTATTTAATAGATTTTTGACGACAGCGGAGATCTACAGAGAAATAAGACAAAACAGGCTTTTGCCACACAGAGGATACTTATTTGTAGGAGACGTTCCGAGTGAGTTTTCCGTCTGTAAAATATCACCTGCCTCATAATTTTTAAAGTCTTATAAACTGATGAGGGAGCAGTTAAATAGTTTTCTTGTTAATATACAGAAGATTAATAGCTGTGATTAATGATGTGATTCCATTACTGCTAAACATTTCTTCCTTAACATTTGTTAGTTCCTGTTTTTTTTACCCTGTTGCCCAGCAGCTCATTGTGTGCTTGCTGGATTTGTATGATCATAATCCACTCAGTGGCATTTTCAACTAAGTAATGAATAATTTACTGTGCTCCTGGAATTCATTTATTTTTTGGCTGTGATGTGTCTGCCTGTGCTGAAGAAAGGCTGTGAGTCGGTACTCTAGAGAAATCACAAGTTGCCATAACTACAAGTGCTGAGGTCCAGAGTGTAGCCCCGGAGAGGTGGGCAGCAAGCCGACCATGAGTGAAGGCTGAGAGCTCTGGAAGACCACATGCAACAGAAACCAGCCGCCCGAAGCGCTCCTCGGCCAGTCGTTTCTCTCCAGTTTGCTCATGTTGGCAGCAGATGAAACTGAATGCCTGATGGACAGAAAGGAATCTATCCATTATTCACTTTGTCAGGTTAAGACAGATAATGAGGCAAACAGCACAAAGACTACTTAAGGTTATAATTGCCTTCAATTGTCTTCTTTTTAGATGCTCTATTTTTCCTGATAGCAAAGTTCCCAAAACGTCTGTAGGTATACAGGCTCATAATTAAGCAAATTTAAGGATGAAACACAAAAAGCTTTGGAAATGGAATGGAGGACGATTGCAGTACAAGGGCAATTTAGTTAGATTTTTTTACATGCTCTCAATATGGTTATGGCTATGTTCTTTTGGAAGGATTTTTTTTACCTCCTCACTAGAGACATTTCGCAGTCTCACCAAAGTGGCTCTCGCTCTCTGATAGACAGCCTAATTCATACAGTTGGTATTGTTATAATCCCCCGGAGGCTGTCTTAGTTTTCTCTCTGCCTTGTTTATTCCAGTGAAGTCCTCTCCATCCTTCGTTACAAAGGAACCCTGTTGTTGTTGTTGGATCACTTCATATCTCTGAGGTATTTCACCAGTTTCTTGCGGTGTGTTTGTGTCGGTGCTTGTTATCCAGCTCCGTCCAGCTCCTAAGGGACCGCCAAGAGTCCCGCATCGCTCTAAGGTGCACAGTTGTGAGTCAAACTGCAATGACTGTTGGAATTAATTTTAAAAATCATGTATTTCTCTTGAGTTTAGTTTACAACCGAAGTGAGGATTGGGGTTACAGGTTGGTAAATGTTTTTATGTGAATTATTATTTCAAATTTAGCAGTGCTTTGCTCGTGCAGCTTTTTTGGCTGCTTGTACATGGGTTGATGTTTATGTGCAAAGTACATGTACTTTCAAGGGAGTCAGTCCCTGAGCTCACATGTCTGTGTATTTTAGCTGTTTATATTTTCGCTCCACTGTTCCCTTGACTGCTGAGTTCAATCTGCGTCTGAAAAGTAACATGAACTCAGGATCAGTTCTGAGGCAGCTATCTAATATCTAATTTCTAACTTGTCTTAAGTGAATACCTGAACATTTGTGGGAACATTTGTAACCAAAACAAGTGTCACAAAATGGTGTGTTGTTAAAATATATTTGTTGTTGGGAGAGACGGTATATGCATGCATACATAAATCCTGCCAAATGCATGAATTTACAGGAATACATTGACCTTTAGCTAAGGGAGCTTATAATGCAAGCAAACACTGGAAAACACTTTACCACGCGATGCAGCTTCACATCATTGTTCACAGCGCTGTGGTGAAGAAACTACTCAGCATGAAGTTCATAATGCAGCTGACCGTTTTATTGTGTGTGCGGGTTGAGCTTATTTGTTGTAAGACATACAGGCCAAGTCTTCAATAACGCACTGAATTAAAAGAGGCATTAAAACAAAAGACATTGACTCTCCAAGGTATATGTTTTGCCTTTATGCAACATCTGCTTGATGCCTTGAACAAGAGACTGTCTCTGTAAAGATTCACGTCCTCCCAGTATCCAGAAATGAAGCCAAAATATCCTGGATACAAACCCTGCCATGTGGAGCCAGAGTCTGTGCATTAGCAATAACGGGATGGAGCTGCTGTTGAGAAGTCCTGTTACAATTACAAATCACTGTCAGCTGACGTTTCCCCCCATTTTTATAGCATCAAACAACTAATTAAAACATTTACTTGAATAAATAACTTTTGTCACTGAGCAAAAGTAACTTACTGACTCAGCAGACATGTACATGACTCTGCTTGGGTGTAATGTGAGCAAATATAATCAGGATGCAGGGTTAGATGTTAGATAAAGGACTGTAATAGTGAAAGACCTCCATACTGACTCCACTGTTGTTTATATAACATTTGTATAATGTATACATTTACAGTATACACACATGCATACACAGAAATATCATCATGCATCCTTTAAGTGAAATATCAATAAAAAGTCAGTTCTCAGTCTCAAGACAAAGAAGGACTCATTGTAGAATGAACTGCTTTCATCTACAGTACAAATTGTTTTGAAGTTGTATTTTGTTGTTGCAGATTTTCCACAGGATGCAGCTCTCCACGCCCCAGACACTCCCATTTTTATTTACAGTGAATAGGTGTTGATTGACGATTTTTTGATCTCATGTTAGTCGACCCTCTACGCTGTCTTAAGGTACCTCCACCATCACTGAGTTACTACTGCTTAAGGTGGAACTGTGGCACTCGATGGAAAAAAGGGAGCTTGTTCAGGACCATTCCGATTTACAGATTCAGCAGCCGGCAAGTGATGAGGATGAGTTTACACCCGGGGCTTCTCCGGCTCTTGTTATGAGAAACAGAGTTGGCCAACTAGATGTAGTGTAAGTAATGCATTTTACTGCTTCCCCTGCTTGCTGTTTCAAAGTGTCGGCACAGAGGTACTGTGGACAATGATGTGTGTGTGTACGAGACATAAAACATCTCAATGAAAAATGCAAATTGAATGAAAGTTGCCACATCAAAGTTCTGATTTCCACCAGCAACTCCATGAAGGCTACAGGATTGGCTTATTGTGCAGTTTCCGTGAGTCTGGCCCCCCCAATAAATTTTATCACCAGCTGCCACTGATACAGTGTATTTCTTCTTAACAAATGCCCATCACAAGCAGTTACTTGAAGATGGACACTTATACACTCCCCCGTTCGTTATATTGATCCATGCTTACACAAGCATTAGCACTCACTTAGAATGAGAGGCATGTCTTCACCCAAACACATCCATACAAATGCTCACAGACACACACACAAACAAACTAACACACTAATATCTCAGGATAAAAACACAATCGTCCTGGCAGATTCTTCCAAACGGAGCGTGCAGCAGCTGATGTATTCATCGAGTGTGTGTGATTTAATGAGGTCCGCTCCATCTTGTCAGAAATCATATTAATAATCTGAGCCTCTCATTGATTTTTATTTTTGTTTAAGACATCCCAGTGTATTATTTAAATCTACAGCCATTAATGAACCCCACGCAGACGGACACAAAGAGAAGTCACAAAAAACTGCTTTTCCTCAAGTCTTTATTCTTCTGCATAGAAAAAAGACGACAGACCAATAAATGGAATAGCGTTTTGCACCCATGTCTATGTTTATACATAAGAGTGTTTTCATTATCACATTTTTTAAAGGAAAAAGGATTTCTACACAGAATGAAAGGGTTCTTCAGTGCTCTGTAAAAAAGAAAAACAAATGCAGACATAAAAAAACAAACCTCACATCTAAGCTCTTCCAATATTACTCCTGCACAGTTGCACAGGCTTGAAAAGAGGAAGAAAGCTAACGAAAGCAAGAAAGGGCTTCAACACTTACAGGCTCTATCTAAATTGTGCCTCCCCCATCCTCCACTCCACAGCCTCACTCTTTATTTTTCTCTCTCCACCTTCTCCTCTTTAAATCTCTCACTTTTTGTCAGCGTTGTCTTTTGAAGTTCCTCCTCCCTTTACAGTATATTCACAGGGTCAGTGAAAGGAAGTGCAGTGTAGCTGGGTAGTGTGTTTATATTGAACTGCACAGTGAAGCGGTCAGGCTGTGATCCCTTAAAATACAACGGTATTGATGCTGTGCCAAGACCTAACTGGATGACCACAGTCAACCAAAGTAATTAATCTCCGAGAATGCACCACATCAAGTCTGAAATGTCAATTGTTACTATCATTGAGAATTAAAATACCATCTTTTGAGATTGGATAAAATGAGAACTTTGTGGAACTGCAATTAATAATTTTATCTTTTAATTGTGAAGTTCACAATTTAAAATATAACAATTTCTTGCCCCAGGTAATGACTTTAATCTAAATGATGGATAAAACATTTTCTTATTCACAAGAAAAGTAGAAAATACTCTCAATTAATACACGTGTTTGCATTTTGCTTAGAGAAAATGATTGTTGCAGATTTAATTTATATCAATTCAAAATAAACAAGCAAAACTACTCGATGACAACACAGGAGTTTAAACTTCTTTTTACATCATTGTGATGAAGTTATAAAATGTGTCATATGGTCTTTAATTCTCTCCAAAAGCTTCATGGTCATTTTAGCTAGAATCAGTTAATCATTTGATGATGTCAAAGTCCAGTAATCTGGTATATACATATACATATCAACCCTCTTGTATATTGAATTTTCTTTCTAATACCAAAAGAATGGTAAAGATTTTTTAAATAACATTGAAATTAATTATTTGTATGTGTAATTCTCAGCCAAAAGACCACAGATCTGATTTCCACCGAGAAATTATTAGCTGCTAAAAATTTTCCTCAAAATTTTATTCAGAAAATCTAGCCAGCCTCTAAATGATAATGGGTTACTATTATAAGACTTTTTATTTCTCTCTCTTCATTTGCAAATGTAATTTAATAATGAGACCAGTCCACAAGAGAAACTGGGAACATGCTGAACCTTTTTAAAATTCTGAGAGGGAGCTCTTTAACAGCCACCCCTTTTTCTACGGTTTTGACATTTTTTTGTGTTTTGCTCTGATTTTCCTGCCATGGCTTCATTTTTGTGTAAATGTCCATGTTTTGATGATGAAACATGTTACATAAGGTGAACGCTCAGGTGTAATCCTTTGAGTCTTTGACTTGTAATGATAATGATCACTCACTGGCAGCTGGAACATCATTCTTGAAAAGAAGTGTGCAGCCTGTTATCACTATTTTTTACTGAGTGCAGTCGTGGATACACTGTGGGTAGAACTTGAGCCATTTTTTTGGGATGATGATGTTACATTACTCCAGTTGTCACCCCTTTGCTTTACCCCGCCCGCACGCTTCTCGATCCCCCATCCTCTTTTCCTTTTGTGTGCTTTTTTTACCTCCTGCCGCTGCATTTGTCACACACTCTGCTTTTTACTTATCTACCTTTTTCTCCACTTTTCTATCCTCACTCTCTGCCATGAGCCAACACACCTTTCTGAACGTCTCTCAGCCCAAAACGGCACCCTTCTCTTTCCCCCCTTGTCGTCTTTCATGTTCTCCCCCCATCCTTCCTTCCATCCATCTATCTTATCACCCCCACTCTCTCTCTCTCTCTCTCTCTCTCCCTCTCTCATTAGTCTCCCCATGCTGTGGTTTGTGTCTCCAGTCTCTGTCAGGACTGTTATCACTGCTGTCAGCTCCCTTGGTGAGAACAAAGTCGTCCTCTGCTAACGGCAGACATGAGAGAAATAAAAGGAAAGAATCTCAGCCAAATAAAAGAGGCAGAAAGAAGAAAAAAATTAAAAAGCAGGGGACTAAAACAGGGGAACGGTTGGGGCTAGGAACACATCTTTTCATGTCAACCATGATGCATTGTCATCTGTGGGTTATAACAACCATTGATTTCTCCCTCTGTCATCCTTTTTATCTATACAGCACAGAGCTTACAGTCGGTAGGAAGATACAAGCGCTATCTCTATACACATCAAGTGCCTTTTCCTCATATAATAAATATATCTCCTGCTAAATCAGCTAAGCCTACTATATCAACCTCAAATAAGTTACCGTGTAATATTATGAATGACACTGAGATATCCAAAAGAGAAAACGTAACCATTCATAACTATAAGTAGAGCTGAAAAGGCCTACTGTATAATGTTGTATACAGTAGCAGAGTATAGCAGGACTGTAACTTCTGTCACTCAATAGCAATGTCCAATCAGCATTGCTAAAATCAGGCTTTTCTACTTAACAAACCAATCAGAATTGAACCAGCAGAGGCACAGAGGGTACTTTGGAAACCAAGAACAAAATGGCCACTAGCCAAGGGTCGTCATCCTAAATGGGACCTCTGGCATACATGGCTTAGGGACAGTGTCCCTGTATCATCACGTGTAGGCATAATCTATGTCGGGAATACCACCATCTCTGTAGCCACGGTTGGTGCCATAAGTGACATGATGGTGACTGGTTTGGCTGAGGATGGTGCCATTTAGGCTGCCAACCCCGTGGGTGCTCCGGTAGGTCCCGTTAGCTTGGGAGGAAGAAGAAGAGGAGGGGAAAATAGTGTGGATATAAGTAACATCCTCCAGCTTCGGCTGCAGTGGCTGATGGGCCATAGTTGTCATCTGAAACCCTGCAGGGGGGGCCCTGATCTCTAAAATGGAAGTGTCTTTCTTGGTGCCCGATTCTACATAGTCATCATAAGGTTTTCCACCCCGGCCCCTGCTGTATGAGCCCGAGTCCCCGGACATGTAACCTGCCCTCTGTCCATACCAGCAGAATATGCCAAATATCAACAACAGGCTTACCAATGCTGTAGCACCCCCTATGATCCCAGCTAATGGCAGGGCTGTTATCTCTGAGTCGTGGCCCTCTTTATCTGACCCCTCCCCTCCTGAGCTTATCAGAGCTTCTCCAGTCTCTATTTGAGCACAGGCAGGGGCTGAGTCTTTACTGTCCGTGTCCATGCTGCCAGCTCGAGATGAACCCATGCTAGAACCCCCATAGGAGTGCTCCTGACGTAGTGGCAGCAGGCAGATGAGGTAATGTGAGTGTGGGGTGAGCTGGGTAAGGAGGTACTGTGTCCTCTCCCCAGGAACCAAAGTTTCCGTTATTGAACCAAGAGCTGCACTGCTACCCAACCTCAGCCACGACAAGCGGAAGGAGGGTACCGGCTGTGGGCACAGCCAACTGACCAGTACACTGTCTGAAGTGAGAGGTTTTACAGTCAGCTCCAAGGCCTCTCCAGATATCTGTCCTCCTTCACTGGGTGGCAGAGGCATAACAATGCCCGGCCGCTTGGCTCGCAGGGTAAAGAGTGAACCTTGTGTGGAGACCAACAGAGAGGAAGTGGTAGTGCTGCCATGTGGAACTGAAGCCACTGCTTGGCCCCCTCCAACACCATCTTCACTTCCTCCATCTTTTTCTGCTGGGTTTACCCCGACTCCAGTGCTGGGACCAACAGCGGGGCCTTCACACTGCTCCATCAGGTCGGTTAGGTCTCTCAAGATCTGGCCCCTTACAGACTCAGGCCCTTGACAGGTCAGACCTCTGACTGTCACTCCTGCCCCCCGGCTGTGCAGCCAGGCATGTAGCCAGCGAAGGTTGCACCCACAGTACCAAGGGTTTCCTCGCAATAGTAGCATCTCCAGGCTTTCTGTGTCCTTCAGAAGTCCTCTGGGGAGACTGGTCAGATTGTTTCCTGACAGGTCCAACCTCTGTAGCCGCCTCATCCCATCAAGTGCCCCCCTTGGTATGTGGGTCATTCCATTGTCTTGCAAATGAAGTCTTATCAGGTGAGCGGAAGGCAGTTTGACAGGTGGGGACTGCAGTGCATTCCTGACCAGCGACAGCTCAGTCAGGTTGGAGAGACGGGAAAAGGTGTCATCTGCAATGCGTGTGTTGGCCAACAGGTTTCCATCCAGTACTAAGCGTCGGAGTGAGGAGAGCCCCCGGAAGGCGTGTGTGGGGATGGTGCTTATTCTGTTGTCATCAAGTCGCAACTCTTCCAAGGAAGCTGGCAAACCCGCAGGAATGCTTGACAGGTGGTTTCGAGACAGGAACAGCAGTCGAAGCCGTGGAGTCCCCGAAAAAGCTCTCTCCTGGATGCTAACCGTAGATATAGAGTTATCATCCAGGTGTAAACGTTCTAGCAACGGTAATTTGGCCAAACTTGACCGCGGTAACGTTCGTATATTATTATCCTGCAAATGGAGCTCTCGTAATGAAGGCGGGAGGTGTATAGGGAATTCATCTAGTTGGTTAGCGTACAGGTAAATCACTCGTATGGAATTACTACGTTCCAGTGAGGGAGGCAGCCCAGCATTACTTAGCCGGTTGCTCTGCAAGTAGAGGATGGCAGCTGTTAAAGGTAGCGGAGGAATTAGGCTGAGGCCACGGTCGTTGCAGTAGACAAAACCCTCATCACAGCGGCACACTGAGGGACAAACAATGCCCTCATCTCCCTCACCCGTCTCCATGGCAATTGCCGCCGCCGCCAGTTCCAGCACCTCAGCCAATAAGGTGAGGCACAGGAGAAGCAGAAAAAGCCAGTCGCGGAGCTCAGCAAGACTCTCAGCTGCCATGTTGGTACACAGCTCCTGATTGAAAGAGAAGAAATCAGAAACTTGATTATAAATGGTGCAAAGGATGTAACTCAAAGAAGCATCTCTAAATTCAACAGAGAAAGTAGAAAGAGCTGGTAAAACGATGATTTAGACGAAACACACAGTTAACCCTTATTTTACTTATGGGCTAAAGTGCTGTTTTTTTGACCTGCTGTTAAAAGTAAAGTTATTTTTTATCTCTTAAATCTAGGAGATTTGTGGATTGAAAAGTCAGATGTAATTTAGACGGCCTGTCCACTATTATATGGGTCAGAGCGACCAAGCAGAAGACAAATGGACATATCAAGGCAGAGTGCGATGAGGGGTGAAGTGAGTGGGCAAGAAAGATTACAAGAATGAGAGGAGAACGGACAACAGAGATGGAGAAAATTGGACAGTGACAGTTGCAGAGAGTAAAAATAAGTGAGGAAGATTTTTTTTTTAATCTAGAGATTAACTGAAATTGAGTGAGTGACATGAAAATAAAATGAACGGGAGATTGGAGGGAAAGAAATCAGATTAATTGCCGACAGTGCTGTTGATAACGTCAAAGACAACAGAAACTCTAGACTTTGTTAACCATGAAATTAATATAAAACATAAGTAATGTGAAAGGAGAAAAAGAAAAGTAACTGATTGTACATATATTTGGTTATGACCAAAGCGCACACACACAGAAATGCACACACAAATCAGTAAATATACAGAGCACAAACCTTTCTCATACAGAACAGTCTCAGTACAAGCTGACATGTATAATACATGTTTTGTCTCGGTTGTTATTGTTCGTGAAATTTTTATAAATTATTCACAGAAGTGGTCCTGAAATCCCCAGAAATGTTTTAGCGGGATGTTTTACAGAGAAGCATTTTTCTGCAACATTAATATGTTCCTCTGTCGATGTTTTGTGACTTGTCTCCCAGCAAATTTCTGACACCAACATCAATGACAGAAATTTACAATTCAGATAAAATGATCTCTGTGCACTCACATACACTGAACATTATTTATAGAATATGAATAATATACAGTGGTGAAAGTTGTGGAATTTACATTGTGGCACACTCTTGTTTGAATCCTTTCCTCTGAGTCGCCTGAGGCAGGAAAATGTGCCCTGACATGAAATGCCTGACATGATTTGACAGCACATTTGATAAACAAATCCTCTAAAGGCAAGTATTTTTTTCTCCCCCTCTGTACATGCAGGCGTGTGTGTGTGTGAGTTCATATGTGCACTCTGCTAGATGCAAAATCACCCCTTGGCTGTAGTCAAAATCCATGCAAAGCAAAATAAGAGATGGCAACAATAGAAGAGATGGAGGGAGGGGGGCGGAGGAGAGGGAGGGATGGTGGCGAGGAGACAGATGGAGTGTTGGACAGTCCGTCAGAGGAGGAGAGAGGAAATGGGTTACTGGCAATGAAGGCTCAAGTCAGTATCAGCTGAGTTTGCTGCAAAAAGAAAAATGGTTCCAAAGATTGGTCGGGTGTCGTTTTTTTTCCATAAGATAGGTGTAAAAATAGCTACACTTTCTGTACCTGTGCGTAGCTGTGTGTGCGTATGTGAAACAAGATCTGTATCAACAGCCACCAGCTCCTGTCTCAGCTTGACACAGGCAATGTTTGATATGGGGGAGAAAGAGGGTGCCACACAATATGGCATGGACCTAGAATATTTCTCTGTTTTCTTTATGGTATTTTTTTTAGCTTAGATATGACTATTTTAAGCAGTCCCAGCTTTTGAGAGACAGAAAAAGTGAGGGGGAGGAACATATGCACACAAGAGGGAGTGTCAAGGTAGGAGCAGAGACCATATTGGGAAATACTCTTTGAATATCAACTAGCATATGCTTCTGTGCCACAGTATCCCTGGTTTCTTTTCATAAATATCCTCTTGGCACAACCCTTTATGTGTGTTTTTGCCTACATGCCAAAGTTTCCTATCAACACGTCTCTTAATGATCCTGTCTTCTCCGCTGCCTGGCTCGTTCTCTCATTCGTTCTCGCTCTCTAACGCTCCTCTTGCTGCACCTTTATTTTTGATGCCATCTACCTCGCCACATCCGCCTACTCTCACCTCCATCCTTTAATCATCTTTTATTATATCCACTCTCAGGTTTGCTTACAGAAGCTTCTGTGTAGTCGTCATCGTCCTCTTCTCCTCCCCGTCTCTACCTATTTTTTAATCTTCTGATTTTCTCTCAAGTCGTTCATTGACTCCTACACAGTGAGATTGGATCAATCAGCCCTGGTTCAGTCCTCCTCTCCTTTTCTCTCCCCCTTTCTCTCCCCTTTTCATTTAGTTGCAGCAGACCCCCCTCTCCACCCCACCTCTCTTTTTTACCTAGCACTCCCTCTTGGCCTCCGTGTTCTTGCCTCTGCATTCCCCTTTCTCTCCCATTCATGGTCGTCGTCTCCCCCCCCAAACATTTCAATCATGCTCTGAAATAAAAGGCTTTGTTAGAGAATAGGGTGTGTGTGTGTTTGGGTTTTTTTTCCATTGTGTAGCTGACAGCAAAGTGTAAGTGTGGTTTTCTTCAATGCAGTGAATGCAGGTGATGTGTGTAATGTGTGTAGTGTATTGTAGTGCGTGTTTAAAAGGTGGATTGCCGAGGGCTTGCTAACCTTCTCAGTCTCTGTGCCTTTCACGTCCGCCGCTGCAGTTTTGTTTTTTTCTGAATCAAGGATTTGTGGAGAGTAGCGTGAGTGAGTCTGTATGTGAGATTGAGGACGTCGCTCTGGATCTCTGTGTGTAAACTCAGATTCTTTGAATTGTTCAGAAGTGTCGCCTAGTTCCTTCGGGGCGTTGAATCTTCCTCAGCTTGGGTGAATGATGATAGGGATGATGATAGCCTGTACTCCAGGGCTCCGCGAGCAGCGACACCAGCATGGCTCAAAGCCGTCTCGGCACCCACATTTGTGTTTTGTGTGTCCTGCTGCCAAGCTTCCTCTCTCTCTGGGAAATTCTTTTTTTCTTTTTTGGTAAGGGATTTTTTAGGCCTGCCAACTCAAGTCATCTTCAATGAGTGTCCAGAGGCCTAATTCTGAAACAACTCCTCCACACCCAAATGCAACAGTCTGGCAGACAGTCAGAAGATGGTTGGGGCCTCAAGGGTCCTTCTTGGAAGTCAAAAGTAATCCTGGATATTCATGCAATCAGTGGGTCATGCAAAAATAGGACTGTGTCAGGTCCTGGCCTTAATTAATGAGCAGTGGGATGACAGTACGTGGGATTTCCACTGCTCACAAAAATCCAGTAAAAAGGTCTTTTGGAAAATTTGATCCGTTATTATTGGTTTTATTGTGACAATTATGACAGCCTAAATTTCACAGTTTGGAGATGGTAATGAGTAAGTTTGGAGGCTGTGATTGACAGGTCAACCTGATGCTGAATACAGGCTGTGAGAGTTGGGCTCCCTCTCAGTTTCAGCCTCTCTTTTCCTCTATTAAATGTTTGATCGCTTCTTTTTCACCGACTTGTGATGCAGCGAAGCCAGATGAGTGTTTACAGTCTGTAGTCCACAGATGCGCTGTGATGAGGGTCGGTCAAGTGGCTCGATGTGAAAAGTTCGCCAACAGATTAGTGAAGCGGGCTGCTGTCTGTTATCCTGAAGGTGGACGTCAGTGGTGTTTGCTTCAGCAGGAAAGCTGGACGAGTGTCACCAAGTACCAACCTGGAAAAAAGAGAGCAGACGAGTACAGACTTAGATTTGTCATTCAGGATTTGGAACGCATTTCTAACGCGAGTTAGAGTTACAGAGGTGCATGATGAAGAGGAATTAAATTATCCAATGTGTCTGTGTTGGGTCATTTTATTTACTTCTGCAGTGTAGGTGAGGATCAGAGTGAAGCTGTCAGAGGAGTCATGTGTCACTGTGAGCTCATCACCACCCACTGGTGTTCCTGCATCGCCGGCTAAATAAGTCATACAGTGTAATAAACCTTTAAATCAAGAATGGTCTTTCATAGCACTGATCCTTACCTACAAAACTTAACTGTAAACAACTACAAGTAAAATTTCTCTATATAAGTGCTTGTGACGAGCTTTTCCCCTGATTAATTATGACACCCCCATTGATCTCACAATGGTGCTGAGTCGAGTTAAATAGTGAAAGAATAATCTGTATAGAATGGAAATGTCCTTGTTTCTAGAATTAAGTTTTCTTATTTGTGTCCCTGATTAACACTAATGATATGGTTTTTATTATTGACCTTATGAAGTTGTTGAACCAAATTGTCAGATAGTCCAAGAAAAGTTTTTGCTCGAGTACCAAAATGCTTTTAAAAATACTTCATTAAGAGCCAATTTGTAGGTTTGAGGTTTGGAGAAATGTAAAAATACCTGAATAGTTCAGAAAATCAGAAAACATATCTGTGGATGATTACCTCACACCATCAACATGTTTTTTTACTGCAAAAACATTTTAAAAAACTGTCTCAGCAGCTTACAAGTGTTTAATATTAAGATAGATAAATGTCAACTTTTAAGTGTCGGTATAAATGTCATGTGTCAGTTCTTGTTAACACCAGCTTTCTTTAAATGGCACCAAAACGCAATCTTGGGCTTCAACATTGATACAATATGGAATACTAAAAGGCACAGGCTAAATAATTATCCCCATCAGAATTGTTATACCGTTTAAAATTAAGTACCTCGTGTAAATATTCCTGAAGGTCAGTGCTGCATATGCGCACCACTAAGCTCCCAACGGATACAAACCTCCCATTAAGGTGACTCCATGTTTTATATCTGTGTGTGTGTTTTTTTTGTTTTTTTTACTCACACAAAGCTTTGGAGCTTTCATTAACCACTACGCGCTAAGTGCCTGTGTCTTGTTGCAGATTCTAACCCCCTAGTGTACGCTGGCTTTTGAAATATAAGGTTTTCATCAGGCATACTGAGTGTACAGAGACAGATTCATCAAGACCATTAACTGCACCGCTGCTCACATTCGTCTGTTCATTTCATCCCAGAGTAAGTAGAGTACATAGCCAACTGGGAAATTATCATGCAGTTTGCTTAAACACAAATAGAGACAAATAAAGCTGTCCTCATTTTCATTTTCAAAGAACACATGCTGTAGCAAGAGGAGGAAGAGCTCGTGTGCATCGTTGAAGGGTATTTAAAAAGGTTGTAAATTGTTCACCAAACATCCTAAATGTAGAGTGAAGTGTGTGTTTGTGTTTGTGTGTGATTGTTTGAGGTGTTTTAACTGGTTCCACAAATGGACGGGGCTCTGTTAAAGTGGATGCAGTTTAGAGGGGAAGGTATGTGGTTGCTGTGGGTTGAAGTTGGCAGCGTGTGTTGAGATAAATTGTCCTTTTCAAAAAAACGGCTCCAGACTGATATCCAGTTTGTGGCATAGTAAACTGATTTATAAGTGCAGAGTGCGGCTAACATGCGTAATGAAAACAGCTCCACATGGAGGACAGAATGCTAAACAGACATTGTTTGCACAGTGTGTCGACATTGTGACTGACGATTCAGGAGAAATTAGATAATGGTCCGCTCAAGGACAGTGTTGATGCATCGAAAGCTTTATGTTTGCTGCCAGAGTAACATTATAAAGTGCTAAACCATTCCATTCATTTGTAATCCACTGATTGATGTCTAATACTTCAAAACGATTAAAGCCTCTTGTGTGAGTATTTTGGAGGCCAAAGCTTTTAAGTGGCTTCGCATTCAAATCATAATTCAAATGAAGATTTTTAATTGGACGACATCAGTCATGTATTAACAGTAGATGTCGCCTTTAATAACAGTAGCTGTCGTTTTAAAACATGCCCCCTTAATTGGTTGCAATGTTTGATCCAAAAAAGACTCTCTACACTCGCCACTAATCTTTATATACCGCAGGCAAAATGTCTGCCTGCGTCGGACAAGATGTGAATATTGAACATCAGCAGCATTTCCACAGCTCGCTGCCATTGCCCATTAGTCATCAATATGTGAAGCTCTATCTGCCGAGTGTTGTGGCTGTCCTTAAAATGTTTTCTGATGGATTTTTCAGAAGCAAGCCTTGCTAGGGGGAGTGTGGCAAGGAGGAGGAAATAGGCAGCATTATGGAAGTGAGTTTCAGAACAGGGATTTAGAAGAAGGTAATGACTGAAAAGCATGTTTGTCGCAGTTTTAAGGAAGCTTACTGGCTCCTTTTAGCCATAATGAATTTCAGCTCATTGTTGCAGCAGTTTTATCACTTCTCAAAGCAAATATCTCCCTTATGAAGAAGCAATGTTTATCAAACCCCTTAACTTACCTGTGAACCTTGACACAGATGTCTTTCACTGGATCACAAAGAGCTTTGAGAGCTCTGAAGTTATTGCATCTTTTAGAAAAACCTTATGAAGCCACATTTAAATTCACTAGATTCAGATTTTTATTTGGATCTAATGTTGAAATGTGTTTCATTAATGCAGGTCTCAATATATTCTGTAGGACAATTACAGAGCCACACAAGTAATAGTTGAGTAACTGCCCTGAGCTAACATTAGGACATTAAAAGTTTATTAAGGTAAAATATCTCAATATTTTGTTTTAATTTGGTAAAACATTTCCAACAATTCTAGCTTCACCTCTGCCAAGGACATTATGTTTTCACTTCCGTCCGTTAATTTTACTTTCTTTAATAATTGTGAGGTTGGGGTGTTTTTCATAACAATAATAATTATTGGATCTTGATAAAAGAAATCAGGCACATTTAGGAGACTGATTTCTATAAATGCGGAGGTATGCACTCTGTGTGCCGTTCTAGTGTCTTCTTACTATCACTTACTGCTGTTTTACAACTCTTTCACACCGTTAGTGAGGAGGAGAAGCGGTATTAAAGAGAGCAGTTCCCACACTATTGGCAGATGACCCATGCAGTGTTGCGGTCAAAAACATTTCTGACTGACCCTCCACTGTGAGTCTTTTCTGTGTACTTATTTTTTTCTGCATAACAGGGAGCGCAGGGAGCATCTCATTCCTTCAGGGGAAAGAAATCACTCTGTTCTTGTCAGCCAGTCAATGACAACTGTGCATCCTGCAGGCACACGACAGAATGTGACTTTCACTTTGGCTTCAGTGCCGCTCCTAATGCTCTCACTGTTTTGTTTTCCTCTTGCTGTTGTACAATATCAATTAAATGTTCAACATTTTTTTATTACAGTCCATGATAGTTATAGAACTGAATAAACCGAGAATATTAGAAGAAATACACAGCTACAAACATGTAGCCAAATCTGAGCTACAAAAGATTGCATCATAGCAATAACCCAAATGTGTGATGTGTACAGATGTGGAAACACGTGTTGTACTTACAGATTTACAGATGGAGGTAACATATGTACAGAAAGGTGATCATAGCATGTCAGGAGTTTACAGATGAAAGAAAGATACTCTGAGGAGACTCTAGTACTACACATGCATTCATCTTTGCTCTGAAAGAAGGAAATGATGGGAATGAGACTAAGTACCATCTTTGAGTGAATACTTGAGTGTTTCTGCCAATTTCATCAAGAGTGAGAAAGAGGGAGAAATGTAATCTTTTGTTCTTCCAAAGTCTCCTCCAGCTGACCTTCTATCTGCTTCACAATTTTTTAAAATCCTTTAGAAGGGTGATGGCAGGACATTGACACATTTCCATTGCCATCCCAACCCTTTGCTCCATCAAGCTGTTTCAGAATAATTCACAAAATGGAAAAGCACAGAAAAGTGACAGCTGTGATATTTGGCAGCGCACTCACTCTGTGCACTGTAGGGAGCTAGGAGCTAGGAAGTGAGGGAGTAGGAGCTAGGGATTAATAGTTGTGGGGCTGGGGACCAAAGTCTGACTACTTTGTAATCATGTGGCTGCCTAACCCCAGTGTTAGTGAGGTTGATGAGCATGCGTCCCTGCTGACACACACTCTCCCTGCATCCACTCTGCTGAATATTAATATGGAGCAGAGCGTTCCTCCGAGCCCCATTGTCAGACGGCCCTATTGTTCTCCGCTGGCCTTTACCTCGGTGCGCGTGTATGTGTGTGTTTAGTATTAAGGCGTAAGTTGGTCTACATTGTGTGCTTATGCATATTATGCCTGTGTCTTCATCACATGTGTGTGTCGGCTGCAGCAGAGCAGCAGTTATAGTGGCAGTGAGGGAGATGAGGGGTGTGTTTTGCGGCCCACCATGGCCCATAAAGACAACTGGCCTGAGAACACTTGGACCCGACATCAGGGCAAAACATTGGCAATTATTTCACAGAGAGGCACTATCTGTAAAATG